GTTTACCGTTAATCTAAGCAGCTCACAGTAGCAGAAACCAAAAAGAGGGAAAAGAAACATTTTAAAGTTTCTTCTCAGATGGGGAGATGTGTGAATAAAGTTGGGGGTGTTTCCTGTTAGGCAAAAACTCATCAATATGTAAAAACTCATGTCCAGCATTATATTTGAAGCCAATTGAAAAGCTCAGTGACTTCTACCCAAGCAGCGCCACTGGGCTCTGACCCTGGATTCTAAGCACGAGGCCACCAAATCCGAAGGCCGGTGGCCTTGGGGAAGGAGCTAGGACCACAGCACCTTCTGGATGGCTTTGTTTGACAGTGGACCATTCTCCCTGGATTCCCACTCTGCATTTCCACGGGGCCCTTCTAAGAGGAAACCTGGACACGTTAGTTTCATCTCCGTGTACCCCATCTTGTTCACCATGACTGTGGCTGTCCAACACACCATGGGACAGGGCTCCCCCAACCTGGAAGCTAGGACTGAAACCAGAAGTCCCCAGTTCTCCTTAGGGAAGTAGACCAGCTTAGGCGAACATTTCTTGAAGTACACGCTCTTTCTTCTGCAGTAAGGCTTGGTTGAGAAACCACTCAGTGGGCTGGGATGTCCAAAAGGCGTTTACACAGAACCATGAAGGAGTCTTCTGTACACACCAGCTGAGCGTGCTCTCCCCAGCCTAACCATTGCCAGGGCTCCTTTCATCCAGCCATGAAAAAGAATAGGGTTTTGAAAAATTGTAAGGCATAGTAACCAGCAGAAAGGCTTAAATGTTATATTGGCCTCAGTTTGAGTGATGGATCCATTAGCTGTTAGCTCTGTGACCCTGAGTAAGTTATTTAACTTCTCCAATCTTTACTTTTCTCCACTGTTGGAAAGCCAGGAGTTGACACCAGATCTGTCTTCAAAGCCTGTTCTTTTAACCACCACACCGGACTGCTCCAGACACTTTAAACAGCACCTTGCTCGTGGGAACTCACCACATCACTGCAGGCTGGCTGATTTATCTTCAGGAGTACCTTCTTCAATCAGAAGCCATGACAGCTAAAGCTAAATTCCATGGCACAAGAGAAACAGCTTTCTTCACTATGCTTCGCAGACGCACAGGCTCCATAGTGGGGCCGAAACGAAGGAGCCACCCCTTCGAATAGTAACGAGACTGATAACTATGTTCCGTTCGCGGCACGGAAAACCACACCTGGGTGTGGAAGCACACTGTGGGTTAACCGGTTGTCTCCAAATCAAATACGGCTCTACCATAGGACTGGCTACTGCGTTGAAAGCTGAGATACAAAATTATGGTTGAAATAGAAATTTTTAATTGACCGAGAGGGTCATTAGGCCTCTGTACCTAAACATCATAGAAATTTCTGTTCTTTCGCGATGTTGTAGAGAGTTTTACGACACTTCTGAAAACAGGGGTTTAGATTATCGAGAGTTGCCGGATATAAAGAAGCCATAGTACAATCAGTACTCGCGGGAAGCACTGCAATCTAAAGACGGCATGTCTTGACTAAAAACATTCAAACTTAAAACTATGCAGCCAAACAAAACATAACTGAAAGTCACATATGACCCTGGCACCACAGTTTGCAAACCCTACCTCTGCCCGCTCCACGGCCCTTCAGGATCGTCCCACAAGCAAAACTGACCACACCGACGGCTGAGACAGCCCCTGGGAGTCAGGCTGCACCCCTTCGCGTGTCAAGTCGGCCTTCCCCTGCCTAGCTCTTAGGTGGAGGGCCACTCCCCACTCCACGGAGCCAGGCGCAACCCTCTCTACCCTTCACACTGCAGGGCTGACCTCCATACACGTGCTGTTCCCATATTCTCCCACCACCATCCTTGGCTCATCTGTTTTCCATGATGTCAGATGGCTTCACTTCTCCTAGGCCAAGCCCAAACCAATCTATCATGAATTTCGTTCATGTTTTTTTTTTTTTTTAATCCACGCAAAGAACACAGAAGTGGGATGGACTAAAATTGTCTTGGGAGGGTAGAAATGGCTTCATAGAGAGGTGACATGCGTTAGGGCTTAGAAGGAAGAAAAGATGAATGACTGCCCAGTGGAGAAGGTGGGAAGAGCATTCTAGGCAGAGGGAACGGCGCGTGCAAAGTCTTGAAAGAGTCCTGATTTGCCACGGCAGGCCTGTGGGGATAAGAGGCTGGCAAAGCTGGTTTGTCTCACGGAAGTGACAGAACTTGATCCTGGATCTGATTTTGGCCAAGGCCCCTAGTCAAGCCCAGGTCTTCATGGAGTCTGATCCTATCATGCGGAATCTCCTCCCGGCCTTTACGGCCAGGCCAACAGCTCGTAGGCTCTCTCTGTATCTCGCTGACTAGAGAAGGCCTGACGGAAGGAACTTTGTTGTTTTTGTTGGTTCATTTCCTTCCTTCCTTCCTTCCTTCCTTCCTTCCTTCCTTCCTTCCTTCCTTCCTTCCTCCTAATGACTCCCTCCCTTCCTTCCTTCTCTCTCTTTCTTTCTTTCTTTTCTTTCTTTTCTTTCTTTTTTTGGATTCTGTATCCTAATGGTGCCCAGCAGATGAATACTCAATAAATTCCCAAGACTGACTGATTCAGATTCTTCCAGGGGATGAGTTGGACTAATCAGGTTCCAGAGACAAGAGCACGGAAAGCTCTAAATCAGAGTCACTATCGTCCTTATTATTGGCTACAAGTGGCAAGATCCACAAAAGTTAACTTCCAAAGCAATGACCTCGAGTCTACACTCCATGAACTCGGAGTCTTCTCCCTTTCTTCCTAGCTCTGCTCCCCCGCTCAGCCCGAGATTCTTTCTCACTCCCCCTGGGAATACTGGGCCAGAGGGATGGGTACCAGCTCATCTCTGGTTCTGAACATGCCCCACCGACTGGCAGGGTGGGGGACAATCAGTGCATTTAGCAAATGCATCTGGCCCTGGAGTGAGAGAGTCTGTCCCTGTGTGTAAATGCCAACTTGCAGGTTACCATAGCAACCCCAGCAGGGTACTGCAGTGGGCAGCTGTGCACAGAGGTGCAGAAAACCCACTCTTAACATCTGGACTTTTGCTGTGCACACTGGATCCTGGTAGGCACATCATGGCTTTAGGCCCTGGTTTTGGGATTCTGCAAAAAAGGAAGTGAGTTTTGAATACTTGCTAGTCCAATATTCCTTTTATTCACACATCACACATGTCCCTCTTCACACAAAGTGGACACAGCACGTGGAGCCCGAAACAGGCCCGTTAGAAACACGTAAGTCCCTATACTCCCTTTTACATACTGTGATGGACAGATCGTACTAGCACATCACCATGACTTTGACACGAAATTTACGTCCACCGAATCACTCGCAATTGCACGTTTTAATGAGCAGCGTACGCACAACGTCCCCGTTCCCAGTCGGCCCCTCAGTTCTTATTACGTTATTATAGTTTTTAATGCAAAAATAAATAATGCCATCAAGAGTATAGGTTTAGGTTGAGCTTTAATGGGGTTGCCTGAGCTGCACTCCAGGAATTGTAAACCAACTTTCCAAAGGACCAGACAATTTTTGAAATTGCTTTTCTATAGGGGTGGGAAGTTGAGGTTTACTCACCCACTTCTTAATGTTTTCAGTGGGCAGGTATGTCTTGTGAAGAGCATAAGGAGATGTTGGACAGCATTCTACTCGTGGCTCTAGCCTACATACGGTCATCAGGAAGCCGTGATCCTACAGTGTGAACTCTAGTGCTGGTAGAGCACTAAGTAGATGAAACAGCCTTTTGGACATCTGCATTTTTTTCTTAGATCTAGAGACTTACTTGTGATTATCTTTGAATTCTCTCCTGGACAAAATAAGTACGACTTACGGCATCGCTAAAGAAATGAACTGCATGGTGGGTGTGTCCAGCAGGGTGAGAGCTACATTTGCACGTGGAAAAGCGAGGGAAGTTTTGGCTCAGGAAGTCACATGAACCTGTGGTGCTTTGCAAGATGCTGGAGCAGGACCCCAGTATCTTTGCATCTCGGTAGTGAAAACGAGGGGTGGATTAGAAGTGAGTAGAGTTTCCAGTACCTGAAGGAGTTTCATGGCCTTAAGGAAATTAAGAGGGATACTG